CCTACCTACCTACCTCTATCTATCTATCTATCTATCTATCTATCTATCTATCTATCTATCTATCTATCTATCTATCTATCTATCTATCTATCTATCCATCCATCCATCTCTGACTTCTACCTACCTACCTACCTACCGACTTCTACCTACCTACCTACCTACCTACCTACCTACCTACCTTCCTACCTACCTACCTCTATCTATCTATCTATCTATCTATCTATCTATCTATCTATCTATCTATCTATCTATCTATCTATCTATCTATCCATCCATCTCTGAGTCCCTGCTACCTACCTACCTACCTACCTACCTACCTACCTACCTACCTTCCTACCTACCTACCTCTATCTATCTATCTATCTATCTATCTATCTATCTATCTATCTATCTATCTATCTATCTATCTATCTATCTATCTATCTATCTATGAGGTAATACAAGATGCCCTGGCTATGTTCTCATATCATATAAAACCAACATTCTCTAGTATGGTAATTAAAACATTTTTCTGTTAATTGCTCTTTACTATTTTATCCTTACATTGTATTATCTTAACTATACTAAACAAAATTTGTCAGTGTGGATGACAGAAATGGAAGCAAAGACTTCTGTTTGCAACTACATTGGAGAAATGCAAAGCCTTGACATTCAGCTTATTCAAATGTGACTTCCAAACAGGGTCTTTGTTGATTTGCAAATAACTGCTAATAATAAACAAGAGCATTTGCAATTGTTTTCCATGGGAGAAAGCTAAATCGGCAATGTATTAAAAAAAGAAATATTTGCCATTATGTAATAGCAATAGAACAATACGTACTATGGCATTTATAAAAGGACAGATCCACAGATGAAACCAAAGACGGGCCTGGAGCTATATTCAATGTACTGCATTCAATCTTAACAGTTCTCATGTGCTATAATTAAAAAAAATATACAAGGAATTAGGATTTCAGCAACATAACTTTAATACATTATATAAATACAGCACAGGTGCTCTGGCTAACATTACGGGTTGGTTTAGATTCTTATGAAAATAAACTGGCCCAGGCAAAGAACTTGGATAGCTGGAATATTGTAAGTTTCTGGAGACCTTAAAAAAAAGGTACTGATAAGATTGAGCGAATCCAGAAATGGGCAACAAAAATGGTGCAAGGTCTGAGGGACAAAACATATCTGGAGAGATTGGAGGAATTGAATATGTACAGTCTGGAGAACAGAAGGGAACGAATGACCTGATTGAATCCTTTAACTGTAAGGGTATGAATAAAGTTCTAGAAGGCAGTATTTTCAATATTAAGCAAAAATCAAGAGCATGTGGGCATAACCTCAAACCAACAGGAGAGGAGTTCAAAAGTAATGTTAGAACATATGACTTCACAGAAATAATAGTGGAATCTTGGAATCAACTTTCAACGGAGGTAGTGGGTCATTCATCAATAACTGGGTTTAAACATGGTTGGGACAAACACATACCTGTCAACTGACAAAGACTGGGAAATAAAACTTTAAAATGAAAAATAAAAAAGATAAATAATAATTGCAACAATATTTGTAACACCATCTAGCATCCCCATCTGCCTATCCTAGGTCCTTGGGAAGGACTTGCTAAGCAAACAAAATGCCAAATCCAGTTTGAACATCTGGCTGACTGTGATGAACCCTAATAAATAAAAATAAATAAATTAATTAAAAACCCACAAAAAAGTCTCATGGATTAGTGGTGGGTTCCACCCAGTATGGCCCGGTATGGCCGTACCGGTAGTAGCTGGGAGCAGCTGACAGCGTACCGGTACAGTGGCTTGTTTGGCTCACCTACCCACCCGCGTTCCATACTTGTTTTTAAAGCAACCGGCCAATTGCGCATGCACACATAGTGTGCAGTTACTGCTGAGCTCCGATAAGCAGCTGGGTGTTGCAGGGGCAGTGGAGTGCACCTGCATGCGCAGTTCATGCACGAAGAGGATGCACGGCCACGTGAGCAGCATACCAGTAGTAACAGGGAAGGAACCCACCACTGCCATGGACCACTAGGTCTTTTTCTAGTGTCAGTTTTCTGTGTTTCTATTTAAAAGACACAAGCTTATGTCTTTTAAGGTCAAAACAATGACTGATGCCACTTATAGAGAAATAAGGTGATTTTTTCAAGCAGCATAGTATACAAGCAATCTAAATGAAACTATAATGTATACCACTAATATTGTATATCTTTCCCCTCTTTTTTTCTATATCTTGCAGGAGAAGCTAGAATACTTCTTCCTGATTGTATTTGCCATAGAGGCAATGCTAAAGATAATTGCCTATGGGTTTCTATTCCATGCAGATGCTTACCTCCGAACTGGCTGGAATGTGCTGGATTTTACGATAGTCTTTTTGGGGTAAACAGAGTCATTTTATTCAAGTCTCTCTGTGGTGGAGGGAAAACCTAGTAAAGTAAAATTATTTGAATGAAATTTATTTTTGAAAATTTGCATAGTGCACTGTAAGTTACTAACAAACAATTTAATTGTTATATACCTGTACTGAACTGTATTCCAGTATTTTTTGTTGTTGTCTGTGGTTTGATTTTTTAGTAATTGCTTCTTTATAGCTTATTATTGTCAACCAGGGCCAGTTTGGTGAGTGTCAGAAACTGGGAGACTGAGAATTCTAATCCCACCTTAGACACAGAGATGACATTGGGTCAGTCCCCTTCTTTCAGCTCTAGGAGAGCCTCCTTCTGATATCTTGCCAAGAAAATTGCAGGGATTTGTCTAGGCAGTTGCCAGGGGTCAACATTGACTTGAAGGCACACCCACATTCATTATTTAATGTACATTTGTGTGTGTGTGTGTGTGTGTCTGTGTCTGTGTCTGTATGTATGTGTGTGTTCATTCCAGCATAACTCTGGAACACCTTCAGCAAGTTCAACCAAACTAGGTACACAGATGAATAACTCTGTGGAAAAAAATACTGTAGGGGTAAGACACCTCTAACACCCCTCGGGGTGTGTGTTCTGTTAAGATACAGCCTTTTGTGCCTTAAATGGCTTCTACTGTACTGCCGTAAAATGGCTTCTACTGTACAGCGCAGTGAAGCTGCCATGGTAACAGCTTCACAGTACTGCATAAGGGGGCTCCCCCTGTAAGGGGGCTCCCCCTGTAAGGGGGCTCCCCCTGTAAGGGGGAAAATGCTACATTAGAAATTATGTTTGGTCTGGACATTTTCCCCCTATAAATAAATCCAGGAATAGCATGTTGCTTTAGTAGATAACTTTGAATTTGAGCAAGGGAGCAATCTAGTGAATCATATAGCACAAATGTGTAGCAATTGTGGGTCAGCTGAATCCTATGGGAACTTATTTTTCCCCCTACTTAATGATTTCCAATCTGGAGATTCTTGCCATCATTGGAGAACAGCAACCCTCCCCATCCATTGACGCTGGGAGCTGCTGCAGTACAAAATTATCCCAAACCATCATTTTTATCTGACTCAAAGCAAAAAAAAAACCCTTATATCCAGTATATACATTCTGTATTCAGTCTGTTATCAGTACACTACAAAGATGGATACAGGAGGTCATTTCCTGCACGAGTCATTTAGCTTACCACAGGACGCAAACAATAAAAAGCTACCTTTTTTCCAATAAAGCCACTATCAAAAGGAAAACATATTAAAGTACTCACACAGGAACAGAGAGCAAACTATATATTTTTGCTGTGCAGTTTTCTACTGGGTCAATGAAAGCCATTTCTGCCACTTCATCAAAATGACCTTCGGTTGGACAAGATCTGCTAACCCATGTGACACGATGTAGAAAAACCTCATTAAGCAGCTACAGTTTTTCAAAGGAAAAGATAAAAGCAAAATTCTATTGCTTCCACTGGAGGAAAATGTTTTCATCCATATAGCCCAACTTTTAATTTTTTAGCTTCCTCTGGTGAATTCTACGTTATTCGCACCTTGTACCTTTTCACTCTCCATTTCTTCTGAAGGGTCTTCACAGTGATCTTGGAGAAAATCAGTTTGATGGAGAATGCGCTCCTTAGCGGGCAAGGTGGCTTTGATGTCAAAGCTCTAAGGGCATTTCGAGTCCTGCGGCCATTACGTCTGGTGTCAGGGATACCAAGTGAGTAAAATGTCCTTGGTATTTGATAAATGAGTAGGAAGCTAAAGCAATGAAAGTATACAATTCCTGTGAGTCATTTGACCCATAGGTCAACTGAGAAATAATATATTAATATAAATACATTGCCACTTGAACTTATTCCTGGAAATTAGGAGGCAATAGATGTAGCCCAAGGGAGATAGTGTTAAAACTGTGCCATTTTCTTATTGCATTCATGTACTGCTATATTCAATAAAAGTCTAGTCTTGCAGGCTAAAATGAGAATTAGCTGTTGAAAAGTTGTTGTGAGACTCTGAAATATGATCGATTGATTGAATTTATTTGCACCCATCTCTGGGAGGCTGTGTTCAGTAGTTTTAAGAGTTAGCAAGCAGAGGAAGAAACCAATAATCAAGTGGCATCTTATTCATGACATAAGATTGCATAATGGGGGCCAGGATTGGACAATATTACCTTACACTAGAATTGAAATACGTTAAATTTTGGAGAACATACTGACTTAAAGATGTTCTATTTCAATGTGTTTCAATGAGTGTGAAAGATGGGAGCTCTGCTCCAGAAACATAGTGAATGAAAACTGGTTTAAGATGTTTTCAGAAGAGAACAGGTTCAGGTCTCATAGCAATAGATCTGTTGTATCTGTTGCTATGAGATTTAGCATATCATCTTGTATTAGTTACCACAGAGCATGTTGCAGGGCATAACATTTAAAGTTATCAATTGGGGTCATATAACAAAATACGATAGTAACTGTAACAACCTGTTCTCTTCCTTCCTTTAGGTCTGCAAGTAGTACTGAACTCCATTATCAAGGCCATGTTGCCACTATTCCATATTACTGTGCTTGTCGTTTTCATGCTGATTATCTATGCCATAATGGGCCAGGATCTCTTCAAGGGCAAAATGCACAAGACCTGCTATTACAATGGGACAGGTATGGAATGTGCTGCTTAATGTAATCATAATAAATTAAATAAAAGTAATATGTGGATCGACCCCTCTGATTTTGGTGTCTCTGCATGAAGATAAGTGTGAAATTACTACCTCTGAAACTCAGTTTCAGTTAGAACTAGAGACTAAACACATATTGAGATGTATGGATACAAAGAGGAATGAGCCATTCTTCATAGAGTCTTATATTTGATTTTCTGTTTCCTTCCTCAGATATCTTGGCCACCGTGGAACATGTAAAGCCAGCTCCATGTTCTACCTCAGGCCATGGGCGCCCCTGCATTATTCCTGGATCTGTGTGCAGGGGACCATGGGCAGGTCCCAACCATGGCATCACTCACTTTGATAACTTTGGGTTTTCTATGCTGACTGTCTTCCAATGTATCTCCATGGAAGGGTGGACTGAAGTTCTTTACTGGGTAGGCTGAGCATGAATAATATTTGTCTAGGCCAGATTGGTCGTGTTGCAGGTTGTCTCCAGAAATTGTAAATGTTCCAACACTGGAAGTTTTAAAGAAGAGATTGGATAACCATTTGTCTGAAGTGGTGTAGGGTTTCCTGCCTAAGCAGTGGGTTGGACTAGAAGACCTCCAAGGTATCTTCCAACTCTGTTATTCTATTCTATTCTATTCTATTCTATTCTATTCTATTCTATTCTAATCATAGAATATGAAGCTGTGGGATAAGGTTATTGGATAACCCTGTACTTTGCATCTTCAGTTTGAGAAGTAAATGACCCCCTCCCCAGGGGTGGGTTCCGGCTTCTGTTACTGCCAGTTTGCTTAGGGATGCGCTGCATGGGCATGCTTGATGTGTGCTATGCGCCCATGCACAGTAGTAAAAAGAAGATAGAACCGGTTCAGGCGCTTGGCCAACTGAGTTACTACCTACTCAGCCAAACTGACCTCTGTCTCTCACCCAAAGTTGCATATGACTTGAGCTACTTTCATACACTAGCTACAATAATTCCTGGCTGTAAAAAAAACCAATAATGAAAAATGAGCCACAATTAAGTTTACTGAGGTTCTGTGGTTGCCTTCCTCTAACTCATGTCTTCTAATGTTGTGGTAAAAGTAGGAAGAAGAAGGAGTTATTTATAAATAATAATAATAAAGGCGGAATTTGTTTGTCTTTTGTTTGATTTGTCTCCTCATACTTTTCCTGGAAAGGTAGTAGAGATTTTTCAAAGGTGAGAATAATGATGATTTTAGTAAAACAGCATCGACTATTCTGTTTTGTTTTAGGTGAATGATGCCATTGGGAATGCATGGCCTTGGATCTACTTTGTCAGCCTCATCTTACTTGGGTCCTTTTTCATACTTAACCTCATTCTGGGCGTGCTCAGTGGGTAAGCAATTTTCAGAAATGAGACCAATTTTTAGAAGCAATCTTTTCTGACACATTTCTCACCAGCTGCTTTTTTTTCTTAATGCTTTTTGACCAGAAATAGATGGACATAGCGAATCCATTCCCAGAAAAAAATATATTTAAATTCTACTTGTAAGTTGGTAAAATTACCCCAATGTCCTTTCAATCTGAGTCAATTGATAGGGCAGGGGGCATTGTGCTTAAATGAATGGCTCAAAAAAGCAGTCCTTTTTTTTAATGTTCAAAGTTGGCCTCACAACAGGGAAAGATGCTTTATTAAGTCGTCGTTTTTTGTGATTCTTTTTTTAAAATGTTATTATCTCAAAGAATGTAAATGGTCAAGATCTCTCTAAAGTTTCTGAAGAGACTTGTCTCCGCTTACTTCTGTATTTATAACTTACCAGTACTGACATGAAAATCAGATTGAAAATTTCAAATGAAAGGAAAGCTCTTGAAATGAAAATGTAGGCCCACAGGTTATCTAATTATTATAAGGATGGGAAATCTAAAAGTTCTGGTTTGATCATGGAATATTCTCCACACAAGTAAAAATGGGGAATTTTCATTATGTGTTGAATCTAAAATGCAATGACTTGCCTAAGGGTGTACCTTGCTCACGGGCTTAACTGCTATGCTAAGTATTGCTAGTGCTCATCTGAGTTTATTCCAGGGAGTTCACCAAAGAGCGTGAGAAAGCTAAATCAAGAGGTACCTTCCAGAAACTGAGGGAGAAGCAGCAATTGGAAGAGGATATGAAAGGCTACATGGACTGGATCGTTCATGCAGAAGTCATGGACAGTGACCGGACACACGGTGAAGGTGCTCTGTTCTTTCAGCAGGATTGCCCAACTAGTTTTGTACTATATATTTTATGAACCAGAGCATTCTGCAATGAAGCTTCTAATTATAGGAGCTTCTAGAACCAGCGGCTTGGTTAAAGAGGCTAACTAGGCAGCATAACCATTCTGAAACGCAGAAAAAATGGGATATTGGAAAAGGATACAAAAATGAATTACAAAAACACAGCTTAAATTATGGCATTTTCAAATATCCATGTTTGCTTTTTAAGTGAACTATTGCTGTCATCATGAAGCTGATCATTATTATGATCAGGGGTGGGTTCCTGTACCAGTTTGTACCAGTTTGCAGCATATGCACGCTGTGCATTGCTCACAAATATCCATTGAATGTAAATTGCTCTGTGCATGCCCAGAAACATGCTGGCAATGGCAGAAGATACCGGGGAACTGATTCGGGGGTGTGGCCAGCCTGGGTTGCTGCCGGTTCTGTGACCCAAGCCAAATCACCGCTACCAGTTCAGCCAAACTGGGCTGAACTGGGAGCAACCACCTCTGATTATGATAGATAGATAGATACATACATAGATAGATAGATAGATAGATAGATAGATAGATAGATAGACAGACAGACAGACAGACAGACAGACAGACAAACAGACAAACAGACATACATAGATTATAAAAATCATCAGTATGTATATTCAATAGAGTTGCTGAACTCTGCAATATTTGTTAACATCAATTTCTACATCTGTAAATAAACTTTGTGGTAACATTATCTATAGCTCCATTAATTAATTTGCAAACATCATACCTGTGTTTAAATTTCATAGGAATGAGGTCATCAGATGAAGGTGGGTCAGAGACAGACAGCCTATATGAGATTGAAGGCATGAATAAATGGATCCTCTTCTTGTAAGTAGAGCCATTAAAATTTAAGCAAATTCATGTTCTGTAGTTCAGTGTTACATAAATCAATCATTTTGAAGGACTCTCTAACTTAATCTCTGGAAAACCATTACCTGTGGAAATTTGCATATCATTTGGTGAAGAAGTAAATGGTACAGTTTGCAATCCAACATACTTGAATGATAGTAGTGTAGAGAAGTATGATTTAAAAGTTTTCTATTAATAACAGGGGCAAGTACTATAATACATATTTGAAACTTGACGCCATAGCACACCAGCTAAAAAAAATTGATTCTCCTAACAATGTTTCTCAATCTTAGCGAGTTTACATCATGTGGACTTCAACTCCCAAAATTCCCTAGCCAGCATATGCTGATTGAGGAATTCTGGAAATTGAAGTCCACACGTCTTAAAGTTGCCAAGGTTAAGAAACACTGCAAAGATCTGGAATTCAGATGTCTTTGCTTTACAGGGTTCCATTGTAGAGACTGGTTTGAGGAAATAGATCTAACTGCACTTATCTTTTAAATCTCTTCTAGTCGGCACTGGCGACGATGGAACCGTCTTTTTCGCAGAAAATGCCGTGAAATTGTTAAGTCAAATTTTTTCTATTGGGCAGTGATCTTGATTGTCGGTTTGAACACTATCTCCATAGCTACCGAGCATCATCATCAACCTGATTGGCTGACTCATGCTCAAGGTGAGCTGAGCATTTAGTTTCTCAGTACTTTTCATGTTGTGATTAAAAGCAGGTAAGTGTGACATTGTCTGTTCAAACTTTAACTTCTCATGAAATTCTATTTTTCCCCAATGAACTGGCCTCATATCTATTAGCAACCATATTCTCATAACACTTTTGATTTGTTTGCTGTTCCATCACCAGTTGCAATGTGTTCTTATCTTAAAATAAATCTTCTTGTCTCTACTTCTCCATCCTCTTGTGCTTTTGGCCAAAAGAAATGATACATGAAGTTTCATGTGTCTCTTTCCATGATGAGAAGCATGGGATTACTCTTCAATGAAATCTAGCTCTTCTCCTCAATCTCCAAAGAATAACCAGTGGGAGGGGGAGTCTGCACAGAGCTGTCAAAATAACAGTGAGCAGAGCATCAATCATATCATCATGAGTGTCATTGTGACTTTGTTTTGGCTCTGTGGACTTGAGCATTTGAGGAACACCTGATGGCCAGAACATATCCTTTCCATTCATCACTAGTAAAGCTTTTCTGCTTACAGATGTGGCTAACCGAGTACTTCTGGCCCTCTTTGCGGTGGAGATGATTCTGAAGATGTATGCCCTGGGCCTTCGTCAGTACTTCATGTCTATCTTCAACCGCTTTGATTGCCTTGTGGTGTGCACTGGGATCTTGGAGCTCATCCTGATAGAGATCACTTCCATGAGCCCCCTGGGCATCTCTGTCTTGCGATGCATTCGACTGCTGAGACTCTTGAAGATAACTAAGTGAGTTTCCTCTCTGGGAGAAGCAGAGCACTGTTGAAAAACATCCCATTCATATATTATAGTTATTTATAAAAGTATTTCCTTGGGCTAGTCCCATAAGTCTTTTTTTAAAAAAAACAACATGAAATCAGAATGCACAAGGGTTTTCCATTTAGAGGGCACTTTCAGTGTGTACGTCATATTGCGATCCCTCAGCCCTCAATGCTAAAAGCTACATTTCTGGAGTAAATAGATNAGACAGACAGATGATAGATAGATAGATAGATAGATAGATAGATAGATAGATAGATAGATAGATAGATAGATAGATAGATAGATAGATGATAGATAGAGTTTCCTTGTTATAATATATAGATCTATTTATTCCAGAAATGTGCGGGTGTATACATACATACATACATATATACATACCCTAGACTTTTAATTAGGAACAGCAGCATAAACTTTCTAAGAAATAACATATTTCTAAGAAATTTTGTGCTTCAATATCCTTAACATTGAAAATTGTCCATGTTACTCCTCTCTTCTCAAGTCACCTTAAATATATGCTGAGCTTTGATTTGTCTGGCCGTATAAAATTCAAGAGTATAGTCAGATCCAACATGGCAGTGATGAAAAGATATATGACAACTAAGGTGTTAGATGTGCATCTTTGTAGTCAAAAGTGTTCAGCATGCCTGGATGCTTCAGAGAGAGAGGGGGGGAGGAAGAGAGAGAGAGGGAGGGAGAGAGATTTCCTTCTGATCCCTAAGTCCTTGCCCATGTATACCTATATTTTAGAACTTGTGTACTCCAAAAAATTGATTCATATTGATCCACCTAATAGAGTGAAAGGAAAACAGTTCTTCACACAATAAAAATGATTTCGGAGAATTCATTGCCATAAGATGCAACTGTGGTGGCTGCTAAATTTGATTGTGTTTTTTTTAAAGAAAGATTATTATGACTTGTTTTAAAAAAAGAAAAAATGATTTTCTTTACAGCCGAGAGTCAGAACAGCGATATCTCAGTTGCTGCATTTATTCTTCAGGCATCCTGACCAGCATCTTTCATCTCAGTTGAGATGAAACTAATAAAATAAATATTGAGAGAAGTGTCTTAATTTTGATTCACTTGCTGCTTTATTATTACTGTTGTTATTTAAACATGTTGTTAGAATTTAATTTATCATTAATTAATTTTAATTAATTTATTAATTTTATTTTTATGCTTCTTGTTTTATGATAAAGTATCTTTATTATCTGGGTCAGACACATAATTGAAAAGATCCCTAGTGATTAAACAGTGATTAATTCTGCCATCCAGTCCATTCCAACCTATCAAAATGTGGGGCTTATTGTTATGGCTGATATTGGATTATGGTATTTGCCCCTTCCCTCATGACAGGTAGCCTTAGATACCCATCCATCTCTACTAGGTTCCAAGGAAGGGAGGTGATAGGAGGACTCAGACAAAAATAGCCTATACTTACTGTGCTATGCTAAGGGGTTACACTGAATATATTCCGTTCCATCTGTTAAAATTGCTACAATCTTGGATGGCCATCCTCAAGTGTGAAGGCACCAATTGAGAGAACTTGCGATTCGTTTTTCTATGAACAAATACGCTGTTAGTAGTAAGTGTAATACTACGGATCGTCCTCAACTTACAACCATTCATTTAGTGACTGTTTGAAGTTATGACATTGAAAAAAGTGATTCTTTCTGTTTTTCACACGTACGATGTTGCAGCATTCTTGTGATCATGGGCTCAAAATCCAGATGCTTGACAACTGGCATGTATTTGTGATGGTTGCAGTGTCCTGTGGTCATGTGATCACCTTTTGCGATCTTCTGACATGAAAAGTCAAGAGGGAAAGCCAGATTCACTTAACAACTGTGTTAACTAATTTAATGACTGCAGTGATTCACTTAACAACTGTGGCAGGAGAGTTTGTAAAATGGGGCAAAACTCACTTGTCTTTCTTAGTAATAGAAATTTTGGGGTCAGTTGTCATAAGTCGAGGACTATCTGTAGTTGATCAGAACAGTAATTTAGATCTTACTCTTCTAGATTCCTATCTTTGCTAGATAACTTGACTGATTTGCATACACTCCACACTTTCTCTGATGTGATAATGAATTTTATAATCTTTCTCTTTTTCTCTAGGTATTGGACCTCGCTGAACAACCTAGTGGCTTCTCTGTTGAATTCTGTGCGCTCCATTGCCTCTCTCCTCACCCTCCTCTTCCTTTTCATGGTCATCTTTGCCCTCTTAGGGATGCAGCTTTTTGGAGGGCGATTTGATTTTGATGATACGGAAATACGACGCAGCACCTTTGATAACTTCCCCCAGGCTCTCATCAGTGTCTTCCAGGTACAGCTGAAGTCAAGGTTGTTTAGACAAAGAATCAATTTCTGAAATAAATGTGATGTCTAAGTGGGTAAATTATCAGGAAAGTAGGTTGTGGGATAATTTCTGAAATGAGTAGGACATTTGTCAGAGTGTGTGTGAGTGAGTGAGTGAGAGAGAGAGAGAGGTGAGAGGGGGAGAGAGAGAAAGAGAAGGGGAGAGAGAAGGTGGAAGAGAGTGAGTGAGAATGAAGGTGGGAGGAAGGGAAGAAGGGAGGGAGGGAGACAGAAAGCAAAATGTGGCTACAATACATATGGTGTTTCTGGACAATCATAAGCCTTGATTGATATCATTCCTCATTCCTCTCTGCCTTCCTTTGTTTTTCTTGGTGAAGAAAGAAAAAGTGGGAATTCAATTGGCCACTATGCAGGAGGGAGTAAAGGACTAGTAACAAATAGTGCTTGATGATAGGAAAGAGTGAAGAAATTCAGCAGCTGGGAGGTGGGACAAGGTGGGAGTTTCCCAACAATGAGAAATCATTTCTCCTAAATCCCAGAGGAAATGTGGCTGAACTTATAATTAATCGGTTCAATTACCCAGGTTCCAACACGCTGAAGGAGATTTAGACATTCACTCTTGTTTGAAAGCCAAGTATTTCTACATGATTTCTGATGCTTTCAAAATATTTTGTCTCTTCCTAGGTCCTGACTGCAGAAGGCTGGACCTCTATCATGTACAATGGGATTATGTCTTATGGAGGGCCTGTCTATCCTGGTGTGCTGGTCTGCATTTATTTTATTGTTCTCTTTGTATGTGGGAATTGTATCCTTTCTTTAAACAGTGTTCATAGATTTAAATACTTGACTAGTGATGGACTGTAAGGCAGTGGTGTGATTCAATTAGTCTAACAACCAGTTTGCAGATGGCACGCTTTGGTTCATTTTGTATTCTTACAAAACATTGCCATAAAATGCAATGCAGTAATGCCCTCCTCAAAATATAGTGACCCCTCAGTTACTCGGAAAGATAGGTTACCATCTTCTATTTTATGCAAGTTAGTGATTCCATATGGAAGCAGGAGGTGCATGGAAAAGTTGCAAAGAATGTATAATTGTATCATGGGTAGAAGCTGCCTGGGGAATTCTGAAGTCCACCCATCTTAAAATTGCCAAAGTTGAACAATAGTTTCAAATACTGATGGGAGTTTGATCATTGGAGGAAGACAGGTCTTCCCCCACCCCCACCCCCGCTGACAGACTGCAAGAGGTTTGCACCAAGGTCATCTGTTCTGGCGGGAACAGAGATTGAATCTCATTGGTCAAGAGGTCTGACAGATCCCTTTAAAAGGGGATGCTGCCCGACCATTCTCCAGCCGGATGTTTACTTGACTTGAAATAAAGAGCTGTTGTTTACTGAAGCCTTTTGTGCCTCCTTTACCCGATCTAACACTGGCAACGAGGATGGGATTGGAAGGCAACTAGGCAAACAAAGAGAGCAAAGCCTTGCAAGTACATCCAGCTCGGAGTATCCCGTGAGGCATCGAGCTAGCCATCACTGAACACCCAGAGAGAACCAGAATGGCCATGCATGCCCCACCAACTCCGTACAACCCAGCTACAGAACACTGGGAATCATACATGCTCCGATTCAAGTGTCTCTTGGAAGTGAACAATCTCATGGGCGTTCCAGAAGCCCGGAAAAAGAATTTGTCCCTAGGATACTGTGGTCGGAAAGTATTCGAGATGGCAAAAAACCTCTCAGAACTGACCCCACTACAAGCAGTTTCCTGGTCTGCACTACAACTAACACTGAAGACCCACTACACACCGAAACCATCCAAAAATGTTCGTCGGTACCAGTTCAACATCCAGAACCAAAAGGAGGGCGAATGAATCAACGAATACGTGGCGGCACTCTGAAAAGCCACAGCCCACTGTGAGTTCCGTGAACTGGACGACCTGATTCTAGATCGCATAATTTTGGGGGGGTGAGATCTCAATCTGCAGAGAAGGCTTCTAGCTAGATCCAACCTCTCTCTGCAGATATCACTAGATGAAGCTAGAGCATCTGAATCAGCAGTCCAATCAGTGGAGACCATCCAGCGCTGCATCGCACCTCCAGATGCATGGAAAAGTACCCGCGTCCACCACGAGACCACAGAGCCTGAGAATTCTGAGAGTAAGGAGAATGCATGTGCAGTAGCCGAACAAAGCCGGCACGAAAATTCAACTCACAAATTCGGCCCTATGCCAACTGTGGAGGAGACCATGTCCAATCATCCTGCCGTTTCCACAAAGCCATTTGCCAGCGATGCAAGCAGAAAGGACACATCGTCAAGGTGTGCCGCAGCGATTTTCCTGCGATTGCAGGACACCCCAAGGGGGGCCAAAACCGCAAACAGTGACCCAAATCAGGGGCTTGGCAGAAGTACCCACGGGGTTCAGAGGGAGATGATAGAATCGCCAACCTCACTTCTGCCATAAAAAGCCGCCCTGGGCGCACCAAAAAGCTGAATGTCACTGTTCCTGTTAGACATATCTGTACCATTCGCCCCAAAAAGCTGAAAGTCACTGTCCGCATCGAGGACTCTCCATGTGAAATGGAGATCGACACCGGGTCATCACTGACCATAATTCCATGGTCAGTCCTGAAGCAAACGATCCCCAAGATACAAAAGAGACACCTCAGAAACCCCGACGTCTGCCTACGCAACTATCAGGGGAACCAGGTTCCCATTGTGGGCCAAGGCACCTTCCGGGTAAGCCACAATACATTCTGCAAAAAACTCCCCGTGATGGTGGTCAGAGACGACCTTCAGAGCCTGCTGGGGCTTGATTGGTTCCAAGCTCTGGGAATGGAAGTGACCGGAGTCAACTCCATGGAGGAGGACAACACTGAAGCTGCTGCTGAAGCCGCTGCTGAAGCCATTTTTAAGGAGTTCGAGGACGTCTTCGGCACCGGTCTGGGTGAGTACAGAGGAACCCTCATTTCCTTTAGTTTAGACCCCGCAATAGCCCCAATTAGGCTTAAGCCCAGGAGAGTACCTTTCGCTCTCCGGCCAAAAATTGACAAAGAAATTGATAAGCTCGTGACCCAGGGGATTTTAGAACCAGTCAATCATACACGCTGGGAGACACCTATTGTGACACCTGTCAAACCTGACGGGTCTGTACGTATCTGTGCAGACTATACATGCACAATTAATAACGTGCTACAACAACCCTGTACCTGTTGTACAACACCTACTACATTCCCTCAGCCCGGGAAAAACCTTTGCAAAATTAGATATGGCACAGGCATACCAACAATTGCCAGTAGATGGCACTACCATGGAGGCCCAAATCATTGGGACACACAGGGGTGCATTCAAATGCAACCGCCTGCAATTCGGTATTAGTATCGCCCCCGGACTGTTCCAAAGCGTAATGGAATGACTTTTGCAGGGGATTCCAGGAGTCGTCCACTATTTCAATGACATTTTGGTATCGGCCGCAAATGATGCGAAAGTTTTAAAATGCGTACGAACAGTTTTGGCTAGAATCAGAGACAAGGGCCTCCGTCTTAAAAAAGAAAAATGTAAAATCAATGTACCAAAAGTACATTGATCAATGGGTCTGGGATTCACCCAGCCTCACAAAAAATTAAAGCCATTAAGGAAGCCCCCACACCTCGCAGTCAGACCAAACTACAGGCGTTCCTCGGGCTCCTTAACTTCTACAGCGTCTTTCTCAAACAGAAAGCGACAGTTGCTGAACTACTACATTGCTTCCTAGCCAAGAACACGAAGTGGTCCTGGGGCAAAACTGAGGCCACCACATTCGCCGCCGTAAAAAGACTCTTATCAGCAGACTTGTTCCTAGTACAATACAGCCAGACCCTGCCTTTGGTGTTGACCTGTGACGCTTCCCCTTTCGGTGTCGGTGCAGTCCTTAGCCACTGTGTGCCAAATGGTGCCCAAGCCCCCATTGCATTTTACTCCAAGACATTATCTGCCGCTGAGCAGAACTACAGCCAACTGGACCACAAGGCTTTGGCTGCAGTAGCCGGAGTTAAAAGATTCCTCGAGTACCTCTATGGCCGGGATTTCGAACTGATCACAGACCACAAGCTGTTGCTAGGTTTGCTGGCTGAGGACCGCCCCACCCTGGTATCACTATCTCCCCAGATGACCAGATGGACAATATTTCTGGTAGCCTATATTCCTACCACCTCATCCACTGACCGGGTGCCACGTTGGGGCACGTGGATGCCTTGAGCCGTTGTCCATTGCCCAAAGTTCTCACTGGCCCCACCCCCAAGACATTGGTCCTCCTCATTGACTGCCTGGAAACCAAACCCATCTCATCCAGTGATGTTGCACACCACTCAGCAAAGGACCCCATAATAAAACAAATTTTGAACTGGGTGTGCAGAAGGTGGCCCAAGGGGCCTGTTGGGACTGAATTCAAAATGTATTTTTCCAAGCGGGATGAATTGTCGGTTATTAATGGTTGTTTGTTGGGGGGGGGGACAGGCTAGTCATTCCCAAACAATTGCGCATAGCAGTCCTTGAAGCACTGCACGTAGGGCATCCAGGGATTGTTAAAATGAAGTCTCTAACAAGGAGTTATGTTTGGTGGCCTAACATGGACAGGAACATACAAGAATGGGTAGCTACATGCATGCCCTGTCAGGAGTCCAGACCAGCTCCCACAGAAGCACCTGCCAAGAAATGGGAGCACCTGCAAGCATCATAGTCCAGAATACACATTGACTTCGCTGGACCAGTCCATAGCCAAACCTTCTTCATAGTCATGGACGCATATTCTAAATGGTTAGAAGTAGTCTTGATGAATTCCACTACAGTGGAATTGGTCATCAAGGTACTACGGAAACTATTCTCCATGCATGGCCTCCCCGATGTATTAGTCTCCAACTATGGGCCCCAATTCATGGCCATGACATTCGAAACATTCTTAGCAGCTCAGGGAATCAGACATGCCCTGGTTGCGCCATTCCATCCGGCCTCCAATGGCCAGGCAGAACGAATAGTAAGATCCGCAAAGGAAGCCCTCAATAGGATGTCCCCTGGTGATTGGCAGACACTAATTGATCACTACTTACTCATTCAACACATCACACCCAGTGCTACAACTGGAAGAAGCCCCGCTGAACTTCTCATGGGCCGCCGCCTTAGGTCTCACCTAGACCGGCTACATCCAAATTATTCCACCTCAACACCCTCTGCTCCACCAGCAAAGTCAGGTCTTTCTCCATAGGGTATTTGGTATATGTACACAATTAAACTGGGGAAACGTTATGGATTCCCATAACTATAATTGGAATTACCAGTCCTCGATCGTACACAGTAAAACTTGAAAATGGTAGAAATTGGAGAAGGCATATTGACCAACTCCATAGTTGCTTGTCTAACTCAGTGCTTAGACAACCCAACATAACTCCTGCACAAACAGAAAGAAGCTATACACAAAATAGCAGTCCTGAGGAAAGCCTGAGAATATCGGAAGACTTATCTGACTTCGATGCAGGCCCATGGTGAGGTCTGAGCGAATCAACGCCAGAAGCTCCAGCCGCGGCTTGTGAGAAGTTCCAGGTGGTTCTACCAGGCGGGTCTGCAGGAGCAACAGGTCCATCCGACTTGTGCGAAGGAAACACCAGAATTGATTTGCGCAGGTCAGGCAGAGCTACGCAAAAGCCCCCTACCTATGTGACTATGTCACTAGATAGATTGTTCCATCCTAGAGGGGAGGAGTGTTAGATATTCCCCCCACTGACAGACTGCAAGAGGTTTCCACCAAGGTCCTCTGTTCCGGTAGGAACAGAGATTGAATCTCATTGGTCAAGAGGTCTGACAGATCCCTTTAAAAGGGGATGTGCCCAACCATTCTCCAGCCGGATGTTTACTTGACTTGCAATAAAGAGCTGTTGTTTACTTTTGTGCCTCCTTTACACGATCAAACATTGGAAATTTTTTTTTTGCTTTGTTTATTGTTTTGTCCACAACCATGCCAGGCATCACTTCAGGAGTGCATACGAATAATATTTTTGGATTTATTAATTTCCTTTCATTATCAAGTCTGTTCTACTATGCTGATATAAAAAGAAAACATTAAAAAATATTCTAAGAAGTATATTATCTTTATAGTCACGTGAAATAATATCCCCACTATAGAGACAGATAAAGGACTTAGTCCCAACATTTTTATTTATTTATGTAATTCATTTTATCTCTTCCCTTCTTTCCTTGGGGAGTTCAAAGTGGCGTACAATGGAATCTCGCTTTATGTTATCTGTGAAACATGTTGGACTGGGATAGCATGATTGCCCCAAAGTCAACTAGGAAACTCCCTGGTCAGGTTGTCTACTTGAAGTCTGGTCCCAGTGTAGCACATTAATCACTATATAATGCTGGCCCTACTATTCATCTACATCAAGGGTGTCAAACTCAAGATCGCAGGCTGGATCCGACCTGCAAGGTGCTTACATCTGGCCCACGGGGCCACCCTGGAAACAGCGAATGACTGGTCCGTAGTGTCTCTGCCAGTGAAAATGGAGCTCCCGGGCTCTGTTTTCAGCCATGATGGCCTCCTGAAATCATGTATCAGCAAAAATAGAGCTCGGGGGGGCCCTGTGCAAGCTGGCCATGTCCTCCTGGCCAAATACACCCAGCCCCCCGCCCACAGGTCAAACACAACCTTGATGCTGTCCTCAATGAAATTGAGTTTGACACCATTGATCTACATCTTTAAATGTTGCTAAATACACTATAGCTAAGGTGGGACCATATCCCACTTTAGTCTTATTGAGTTTTACATTTTTATTGAGTTATAAAGTAGTAAATAGAAAAGCAGTGTGGGAGAAAAGGAGAAAGAGGTGAGGAAAGATAAGGAAAAGAAAAAGAAGCACTGACTTCCAATTGTCTCTGTTACAGTAAAATAAGTGTTAGTGTTAGATAAAAAAAAGGTTAGGTCACCTTGTCTTCTATGGATATAGGAGAAATTTAAACTGTTTAAAATCAATAAATAGACAAGAATTTATTTGGCCATTAATGAACTCTTAGTGTCTCTTTCTGCCCAGTAAGTCTGAGTTGAATTCAGATGAGTAGCAAATGCTTTTCCTCACCTGAGAACGCCTCACCCAAGGGATGGCCTTGCCTATTCACAGTTTTGACAAAAGGAACAATATCCCACATTTTGCAATAATGGCCATATGTCCATTTCCTAAGCCCTGGTTTTCTTCCAATCTTTCAGATTCGATGGTATCAGAAAATTGGCTAGGTATAACCTGTTTTCAAGTGACACTTTCAGAGAATGATAGAAGTCTTGATCCATCATTTCTGTATGAGGTAAATCCACACTGTAAAATTCCTTAGCTTTTCTCCCCTCCCTATGTTAGATATCTTGCTCAATGTCTTTCTGGCTATTGCTGTGGACAACCTGGCTGAGGCAGAAACATTAACATCTGCTCAGAAAGCCAAAGCTGAAGAGAAGATGTGGAAGAAAATGAACAGGTCAGTTCTTCCTTCTGATGCTATTCCTGACATTCATACCTTTGGGGTTCTAGACTGCTCTCTGTCAACTGTTGTAACTTTAAGCTTCTTTAATATGCCTCCCCTACTCCATTCTACCTGGCTTCTCTTCCCTTTCTCCTTGCTGTTTTGGTTCTTTTCTGTAGAGGTTATCCTGAAAAATCTGAAGAAGAAAAGCTATTGTTGGCCAAGAAGCTGGAACAGAAAGCAAAGGGAGAAGGAATTCCCACCACAGCTAAGGTCAGACCAGGATGGCAGCTACAGTGTGGCATTTCAGTTGTTTAACCATTGCTTTGTTTTTTTTAGGTATTTGCATCCCGCTTTTGAAGAGAAATGTTCTTTAAAAAAAAAAAAAGAACAGACATTATTGTTAAATGCAACTCATTTCTTCTAATGATGAAATTTTCTAAGATCACACACATTTACCATATTTTTCGGACTATAAGATGCACTAGACTATAATGAAGAGGTAATTTTTTTAAAAAAAAGTTTTTGCCCTCCCCGGCCCCCAGGAGCACTCGGCAGGCCTCCCAAACCCTCTGCAGGCCCTGTTTTTTGTGAAAAACAGGGCATACAGAAAGTTTGAGATCCCTGGAGCCCGGGGAGAGCAAAAAAGCCATCGGGGGTTTGGGAGGCAAAAACTGGGCCCATTTTTTTTAGAAAACGGGCCCGTTTTTCACAAACATGATTCGTGCAGAGGGTTTGGGAGGCCTGTAGAATGCTCCTGGGGCTGGAGAGGGCAAAAATTAGCAAAAAGCAGGGCGTGCAGAGAATTTGGGAGGCCTGCAGTGTGCTCCTGGGGGTTTGGGAGGGCAAAAACACCCCCATTTTGTGAAAAATGGGCCATTTTTTGCTTGTTTTTGCCCTCCCCAGCCCCCAGGAGCACTCTACAGGCCGCCCACACCCACCGTGGATCCATTTTTTTGAAAAACAAGATCCATGGGGTGGTGTTTCAGGAGCCCAAAAATGGCTGAATTCATTGTATAAGACGCACCAACATTTCCACCCTCTTTCAGGGAGGAGAGAAAGGTGCGTTTTATACTCTGAAAAATATGGTACCTAGTTTTCATTCCTTTTCAGTTAAATCCATTGTCATTTGATTATAGTTTGTTTAATAATACTGAGGCTGCCTCTGTCTGTCTGTTTGTCTCCCTCTCTCCCTATATATATATATATATATATATATATATATATATATATATATATATATATATATATATATA